GGACAGTTTTCACAGGAGAACACTCCCTGGTGGAGGGTGACTCATGGGAAATCCTGGGCGGACAGCATGAACAAGCTAGGAGCTACCAAGCTGCTTGGGGGCAGGAACAAAATAGCCATTCTAGATCCAGTTCCTGGAAACTTCTTTGCATTTTCACTTTTTTGTCTTTCCTTCTCATTTCAGCTATTTTCTCACCTTTCTAAGACTGACTCCCTAATTGTGTTCTCCATAGAAAGCCCTTCAGCTTCTTCTGATGTGAAGAAGCTACCTTCTCCTCCCTCCAGGCATCCTCAGATCAGGTCCTTCTCAACTCAAAGGGTTGGCATCGTCTCTCTTCCATTAGGATTCTTCTGACTTCCTTTAGATACTTTTTCTCTCTCTCCTTTCACTGACAAACTTCCAGAAAGAAAGATCTACATTTGGATCCTGCCTCCAGATTACTTCTAAACCTTTTCTATCCACTGGCCGCAAATTTTTCTTACGGTTACTAGCAATTACCTGTTAGTGAAATCTCCCCTTTCTTCCATCTCCTGCCCTATTTTTGCAGCCTTCAGTTCTCACAACTGCAGTGCACCTTTCTGAGTCTACAGAACTGCTGGACTTGAGATACCTTGCTTTTTTATTTTTTAATTTCATAATGATATGAGAATACCAGCGATTAGGTTACATTGATCGCGTTTTTAGGAGAAGTCCAAGTTGTAGTTGTGTCTCTCACCCTGAGGTGTGCTGTATACCTCTACCGTTGTGCCCGTTAGTTGAGAGCACACCAATCCCTCTCCCTCCTCCCCCTTCTCCCTCCATCTTCCTCCCTTACCCCTTGACTTGAGTTTAATTGTGTCTTTCTCTTGTGTGAGTGTGTATTTGTTTGTCTACTGGTTTGACATGAGAACTGAGTACACTGGATACTTGCTTTTCCATTCTTGTGATACTTTACTAAGGAGAATGTTCTTCAACTCCATCTAGGTTAATTTGTTGCTGTTTTTGCTTTTGGCCTCTGCCTTGTGGGTACATACTTAACTCATTGTCTTCAGCTTTCTTACTTTTCACCTTCTTTATTCTTTGTCCCAGAGAGCACATTCACTGCCAGGGGAGCAGCCATGCCCTCTAGAGGTGATTCCTAGATGTGCAGCTCGTTCACTGCCAGGGGAGCAGCCATGCCCTCTAGAGGTGATTCCTGGATGTACGACTGTACAAGTTTCCTGAGTTTTAATCTTTAGCTAG